CACTCACACACACCCACACACACACTACTCTACTGAACTTCTCTGGTATTTTCATGTACCAGGGTCCACTCTTTCAGAAATGGCATGTTAACAGAAAAAAAGTTGGGTCTCACTGACCCCCAGGGACCACTGTGTGACCACACCTCTTTGCTATTGTGATCATCAAATTTAGGGGTACAGGGAACTTAACTGTCAATAACTTTGCTATAAACCAACCAAATTTTAAAAACAGCATATCAGCAGAATCATATTAATTAGCTCTTTGATTTAAATGACATTTTTTAAACAAATATGAAACAATGATGTCATCAGTGGATCAAAATTTCACAATCCCAGCAGAAGATGTAAATTTTCATCTTTTATCTGAGTTTACCACACAGATCCTAAACATTCAACTTATTTAACCTTTTCATGCACCTTAGGATCCACTTATTCAGAAAAAAGTCTYTTGACAAAATGAAAGTTGGTAGGTACAACTCCACAGGGACCAGTTTTTGAAAACACCCATAGTCATTGTGTGCACAGTTCAGATTTTCCAGGATGTCAAACTTACATGTAGATTCACCATGTCAGAATAAAATGTCATAAATCTGATGTTAAATGATAGATATTGTCATGGTATCTCATTTAGATGTGCTTTTGTTGATTATTTATGCAAAAGACCATGTTACCAGCCAGGCGTTAAAAGTAACACATTAGACCATTGGTGAACATTCAGAAACAAGTGTTTGTTAAAACTGAAAGGCTTTCACAGAGTTATTCTTTAATTAGCTTGAACTCCAACCAATTCTAAATAAGAATTATTGTAAAATTTGAGAAATTAATGTTTCAATTTAACACAGCATCATATCTAATAGTATACCATACAGAGCAGAAGTAAACGTCACACACAGAAGAGTGCATCATCTACGTCCCATTTATCTCCAAACCTACCAAATGCTTCTTGGTAAGTCTCATTATTCTGAAGGAGCTTCATGCCTTTCACTTTCCCTTTTCCCTTAAAGYCACTTGTACTGTCACATTCTGTGTAGGCATGTAGACCTAGCAGAGCAGCACACATTTTTGGTGAGAAGGATTGAGTAACTGTAAKATGTATGCAGCAATTGAATTTTCCTTAGTTGTAGCCAGCCACATGCCTTTACTGACACGTGTTCTGACCACCTTGGTCCATTTGTTGTTTTTTTTAAACCATCCTTATTTGATAGGAACAATTTCCAGTCTTTTGGTTGCTTCAGGGCTCTCAAGTTTTGACCTGAGCTTGGAGTGAGATTTCGAGCCGCTGAACACTGTTGCCAAAAGTTGCTTTTGGCCGTCCTAAACACTGCTAAATAACGTCATCGTCCAATTGGCATATTTGGACTTATGCCAACAACTGTGATCAGGGCTGTGTGGTATTTAATGAAGGAGAAAACAGTGTGTAAAATCACTCTGGGGGGTCCTCCCCCAGAAAATCTTGAATGAATTAAGACGCCATTTCCTGCATTCTGGTGTATTTTAACAGGCTCAATTGTAAGGTTGGGTGGTGTAGGATGGTTTCACCTGTTCCTGCATTCTGTTGGCTGCATCCTGCACTAGAAACTGACTGTCATGACTACTTGACAGACCTGTCAGATTTAAAGCTTGAATGATGCATGGACATCAAAACCATTAAAAAAAAAAAGAGGGGGGGGGGTGGCTGGGGGTCCTCCCCCAGAAAATTGTGAACGAAATAGATGCCATTTCCTACATTCTGGTGTATTTTACCAGGTTCTTAAACATACTATTACATACATAAATAAACACTTGATTTAATTATTTCAGAGACAGATTCTTTATTAATCTAGTTCTATCATTGTTTTAAACTCACTGCTACAGCTGAGATACGGTTAATTAATGTGATATAATTTAACATATCCAGTGACGTTAGGGGTGCTTTTTACTTTTATATACTGTACACACACACACACACACACACAC